TGGTTGCTGTCCCTGAGCTCTTTTGTTCAAGGCTAGTGCTCCATCATTTTGAGCCACAGCACCACTTCCGGTTTTCTGGTGGTTAATTGGAGATAAGAGTCTCAAGGACTTTCTTTCCCAGGCTGGCTTTGAACTGCAATTCTCAGATCTCAGCCTCCTGAGTAGCTAGGATTAGAGGGGTGAGCTACCAGCACCTGGCCTAGCTCTTTTTGATATGTGTTTAGTTGAGTAGAACTTTCCAGTGTGGAATGTTTGTAGATAACAGCCAGCATTCGTCATGATAGCCATGGAACATACAGGCATCATTGCTTCATTGGGAAATTGTGTTGCTTATGTGGAATATTGTTCTTATGTGAACCCTAGATTCTCCCTGCCTTTAGTATAACCTCAGCTCAAATGCCTCCAAACCATCACCTTCACCTCATGTAATAGTATCTACCATGCTTAATTTGTTCTATTTGAAGTATCATGAAGTACCAGAAGTTTGAACAATGCTTTTTCTCAACATACGGTGCTCCTGACAGCCATAGCTGTAAATTCACTTAGCGTGTATTTCAAAACAAAAATTACTGTTTATTATTCTCAAATAGCCCAAGTGTGTTGGCCCAAATGGCTAAGTCAATATGATGTGTCAGCACTAGTTAGATGAGCATTGTGAGCTCTCACACAGAGGTATACAGATGTGGAGGTCAGGGACTTCTGCATGGGAGTGGCAATCTGGGCCTGTCTGGTAGACAAAGTGATATTTTCCTTCATGGAGATTTCTTTTTATAGAGATGTTCCCGACCTGAAAACTTTCACCTGCAGAAACTAACAGACTTTAATGTGTTCATCTCACATACACATTGACCTGGTGAGACTGGAACTCAGGCTATTTCTGAACATCCCAAATCTCTACCCTAGAAAAGTAGAAATCATGGAGACACGTGAGAATAAAATAAAGGAAGATGGTTTACTGATATTGTAGGGTTTGCTTTAATATCTCTATATTCCGCTGCCACAGCCTGGAGGTGTTTAGTGACTTCCATTTCTCGTCCTAATAATTACTCTGCTAAAGAGACCTTGGAGTGAAGGATCAGTATATCTATGCAATTTTGAAGCTACTCTTTCAAGAAAGTAATCTCATTTTAGACCAGAGTACATGCCACTACAATTTCTAGAGTAGACAAGTTTTAGGGTCTTGAACACCCCCCCCCCATCTGTACTACAAAAGTTTCCAAGAATATGTAGAAAGAGCTTAAAAACACTAATCAGTTTCCCCACATATAGATGTTGTGTGGCTGAACTGGAATTCCCTGGAGATTCTCAGATACACCTGCACCTGCAACCATTCACACAGCCATGGGCGCTAGATTGGAGGACTAATTTCTTAATGTGTAAATGAAATATTTTCTACAATCCTGGACTTCATTATTTTAGCTATCACTGTATTCTCACCTACATTTCCCCCAGAAAGCTACTAAGATATGGATTTATTTTCCATAGATATGTTTTAGACTATGCTGAAATAGCCAAGTTTCTACTAAATTTCCAAAAGTAAAATCCATTCCATGTAACTGGATTCAGATTTTCACCAAAAGCAAAAATAACTTGTGTGTATATTGAAAACAGCTGGGGAAAATGACTGTATTTGCTGCACCAACATCATCAGAATAATGGCATTCCAGTCAATTAGCTATCACTAATCTCTCAAATGTGTACAGCCAGAAGATCCCAGCTTAATCCTGTCCCGTCTGAATTCTAAATCCCAATGTATAGTCTTTGTTCTTGTCTTCTTCCACACAGATCCCAAAGGCTTTATCTGACTCTTCATTCGGTTAGATATTCATCAAAGATTAACTTGGCAGTACTGAGTTGGACATGAAGCATTCAAAGGCTCACGCCTGTAATCCTAACTACTTAGAAGAGCTGAGGATCACAGTCTGGCAGACAAACTCATGAGATTCTTATCTCCAACTAACCAGCAAAAAGCCAGAAATGTAAGCCTGGAAGTGTTGCTCAAGTGGTAGAGTGCCAGCCTTAAGCAGAAAGGCTAAGTAAGAATACATAACCCTGACTTCAAGCCCCTGTATGGGCACCAAAGTAAATAAGTATGTGCATGCATAATACATACATACATACATACATAGTTCAAAGGTGAATAAGGCATATATTTTATAACCAAAGATTTTATAACTTAATATGTAGAAAGGGGAAAGACATATGCTATCAGACTGTATTCCTATTGGGAGACAGATCACATTCACTTAGGTAGTACTCATTACCAACCTGTTGTATATACCTAAAGGAAGGTCAAGTACACAAGGACACAGTTCACAAGTACTGTGATTGTCAATCAGCCCTTAGGGAAGTTTGCAAATATTCCCTCAGAGATGTACAATGAGGCTGTTTTAGATGGGGTCATAAAAGGCTTCCTAGAGGAAGAGACAGAGTTGGACCATGAAACAATATGGACAGACAAAAGGACATTACAAGATCAACTCAGGCAAAGGTGGATAAACAGAGGCATATAAATAAGTAAGAACAGAATTCTGTGGGCCAAAGGAAGTTTAGTGGGAGATGAAGCTGAAGAAAGAAACAATAGAAAGAAGCAGACAGGACAGACGAAGGGATTTGAAATGTATCCAGTGAGTTCTGGGGAGTCTTTGGAGGGCTTTGAAAATGGCAGGGCTATGTATTTTTGGAAGTTTACTTTGGCACCATTGTAGACAGGAGATTTGCATACAGAGTGAAGGTGTGATTGAAATAGCCCAATGGAGAAAGTCGAGAATTGGAAGTTAGTTGATACGTGAACATTGATGCAAGACATTTCAGATGAAATTTATAGATCTAGGTGTACAAATGGGATGCAAGAGATAAACAAAGGAGCCGGCTTGGATTTAAAGCCCTGTGCGTGAATAGTAAATCATTTACCCTAGACAGAGCACGCCAAATTAAGATGCCTTTGGGTCCAGGGACAATGACTTGGTTTGAAGATGTGTTCAGATAGAACACTGATGAGAGAAGTCTGTATTTAGGACATGGTAGAATGATTTTTCCTAAATTCCTTGTACCTTCCTTCTCTAGTCTGAAAGGACCTTTGGTGAACTTTGCTGATGATAGAACTTTTTTCAAAGCCATCCCTGGAAATCTATTCAGTCTTAGCTGTCAGATTGAATTACCTCTTACCTGGTCCTGTGCTTGATTATTTCATCTCTAAACCCCTCCCTAAGGTTTCCAGGCTGGTGCCTCCCTGATTGCTTGTAGTTACATAGTTGAATAGACTTTTTCATGGGCTTTAGTCCTATGTCGTTCAGTAAAAAAGATCTTAAATCTGATTCCATAATCGTCCACTTTTGATCCAGGTGACCTGTGAAAATTAATTGTCACATCTAAGTAAACACCTGAGCATAATTTTGGTGGGTTTAAATGAGATGAGGTGTAGTACTTTTTAGCATCAATAAATGCTGAATGAATATTAAATTTACTCATTAACTTTGTAAATCAGAAATGCATTATTAAAGTGAGAAAGAAACTTAGATACTATCTCACCTAATTATATCAAGTGAAAACACAAGAACTGGGCTCCAGGGAATAAAAACAGCTTGGCCACAGTGATACTGCCTATAAGGCGATTCATGGATTCCATACCCTTGGGATTAACACTCTACCCTGCTCTCTCTGTTCTGGCTGAATTGGAAGAGTTTCTTGATCATCACATGTCACCATAATCTTATTGGGCTTCCTATGGGAGACTGGTAGATAAAAGTTCTATTAATCATTGGGTGCTACAGAGCGAACTGTCACCAACTTAGAGACTTCGAACAATCCATGTCTATTGTCTCAGAATACCTGTGAGTTAGAGGTCTCAGCACAGCTGAGCTGGCTCTGTGATTTGTGGTCTTACAAGGCTGAAATCAAGGGGTCAGCTGCTCTGAGCTCCTACCTGGAGGCTCAAATAGGAAAGAACTCACTTTTGAGTTCATGTAGGCTAACGCAGCAGCCCTGGCTTCATGGGCGTAGGACTGAGGTGCATGCTTTCTTGTGGTCAGCTGGAGACCACTCCTGGGAACTAGAGGCCCACTCAAAAATGGACACCACCCACCTTGTTACATCCTCCCATGACCATGATGTGGCAGCTGAATTCTTTCAAACACAGTCGAGAAGCATCCCTGCCGCTGGCCAATGGTATGTAGATAGCCATAGACCGTAATGACTGGAATGGCTTCCTGTCATTTTTACCACGGTCCATGGGTTAGAGGCAAGTGCAAATATGACTTAAGAGGAGAGATCGCACAGTGTGTGACACCCAGGAACAGAATCGGGGAAGGGGACACCTTACAATTCTGCCTTCTGGAGATACCACTAGAGATTTCAGTGTGACTGTCACAAGGCCTCCTCTGATTACAACTACACGTTCTGCAAACACTGTTCTCAGGAAAGCTAAGTCTGCAAGGATACTGATATGTGTGTATCTTTTGAATCTGCACATATCATATGCAACACGTGTATACAAAAATGGGTTTGTATGTATGTGCACTTAAGACATATAATCTCAACATATGTTCTCATCCTCTGTCTCCTCTCTCTCAGTATACACATACACACACACACACACACACACACACACACACACACACACACACACACACACACACACACACACACACAGGGCATGTGTCTCTCCACGTGTGTACCTTTGTTGAGTTTTAAAGGGGTCCTTTCTGAGAGTTGATCCAGAGACATTGCCTACCATTCTGGTAATTTCCAGAGTGCTCTTTCCTGAATTGTTGGTACACTCTGTGACATGAGTCATGCTGCCTCTTTATTAAAAATCCATCTTCTCCAGCTGAGGCAAAGCAAATATTTACCCATATCTAACTCAGGTCTCAGCCTTGGCAAATGTCTGTGCCTCCTCCATGGAGCCCGCCAACCCTCTGGGGATGGTGAAATGGGGGGAGACGGTCTGCCTTTCCTCAATACCCCCAGGACAGAATGGTTGGCAGGCCTTCTCCCCCTGCCTGGAGTGTGCCCTTCTCATCCCCATTTGAAGGGTCTCCTTGGAGCTCCACGTTTGCCAGGATGCAAGCTAATGCTCCTGTTCACACTCTTCCCATCCACTTCTTTCCTTTAAGATCTGTCATCTGTAAAACCCATCACTCATTCCACGCAGCCCTCCTCTTACATACTGGAATTCCCGCTACTCCTCAGCCAACCTGTGGCAAAGCCAGGCCTGTTACCCACCACCTATCAGCCCCTGCAGTACCCGCAACCTCCACCTTCCACCATCCCTTGTTATACTTCTAGTCATCAGAAGCAAATCAGAAAACCCAACTCTCACTCCCTTGCTGACCGTAGCAAGCATTAATCTATCCCCCTTTGATCCTTCTTTTGTTAACTAAATCTCAGTGTCCATTTTAGGCAAGTTATTGTGTTCTTTGTTACACGATTTTTTATTTCATAAAGGTGAGTGTTATTTCCCCAGTGAGATTATGAATCTCCTAAAGGCAACATTTATAATTTTCCTTTATTTTTTTCTTTCTCTCTTCCTCCTTCTTTTTCCTTTTCCTTATGATTAGTATTGGACTAAGGGGCTAGATGAATCTGTATTTAAATCTTGAGTCCACCTGTGGAAAAACTATGTTATGCATTTTTCTCATGCTTAAATGAGGATACTAACCACCCCATATTTGCAGCTACAGAGAGTCAGCAAAAGTAATGTATGTAAAGAAATGAGTGTACATTGGCATATAGCAAATATTCAAGTAATGAAAGATATAGCTCCTTTATCATACATTACAAACCATTTCTATTCAATCCAGAAAGGAAAAAAAAGCCAGATACCTTTTATAAGCCCCGTACTGTGTTCTGGTGGTAAAGGTCCAGAAATCAAATAATCTTGTTCACCTAGACTTTAAGAAATCTGCAATCTGGGTGACCAGAAGCTCTAAAGGGGACCTGAATAGTAACTGTCTCAAAACCTGATGAGAATCTACTCATAATGATCTCATTGCAAAATGAAATAAGACATGCTCTCAGTTCATAGTGGTTCCCCATTGTGTTCATCTGCATTTATGGTAAGAGAGACAAAGAGCTCAGGCTATTTCCTCCCATTTCTTCTACTCTGTCCCTCTCTATGTCATCATCCTATTAGCCTACCGGGCAAATGGGGCTGCCTCCGAGGTACGCGTGACCAACTAGTTGGTGCTGTCTTGATGAGTGGTGAAGATGAAGATGGATGCATTCTTGTTCACCTGTAGTTGGAGTGAGGACCACTCACCTTCAGCATCCTTCTCTTGATGCTTTCTACCTGCCCACCCACCCTACATGCACTTGTCATGCTGGTTAGAGATGAGGAAACATCTCATGATTCAAGTGCTTGCTGAACTCCAGGGACACACCCATACCATTGGGAATTTCAATGGTAATTCCTATCGGGGTAAAATTGCAAGTGGGAGGATTTCTTTTTCCATTTTCCCTTTTGTAAAATGCAGAATGCTTTGATTATTAAAATGAAATATTGCATTATGAAGGTCCCAAAGGACAGTGGCTGCCTTGTGGGAGAGCTGCTCGCTGAGCTGAGAAGTCCAGTGTTGGTTGTTGCAAAAGAGAAAGCAAATGCTTCAGAGGACCAGAGCACCATCAGGGACTGAAGCCACGGTTGCTCTTTCTCTGTGTGATTGTGTTTGGTTATGTGATGTTTCCCTGACTCCTGGACTAATTCTCTGTGCCAAGGATGTCAGTAGATGTTTTAAACTACCCATTACTCTACACTACCCTAGGCCTGTGGAAAATCAGACAGTGTCTCCAATGAGTTTAGAGGGAGAGGGAGAAGGCAAGGGAGAAGGAGGGGGTGGAGTGGAGAGAGAGAGAGAGAGAGACATCAAATCCTTGAATTCATAGGGCAGAAAAGAGCAAGAGGCAATTCTGCATCACAGCTCACTTAAATCTAACATAGTTCAGTGATGTCAAATTAGGTCCCAATAGCACACAGCCAGAAAATAGGAGAGCTCTGTGAATCTCAGTGTCCTGATGTAAGAATCTTCCCTCTCTCCATTTCCCAGAATCATCCATTTCTCTGTTAATTTCCCCTGTCTTAATCTCTAAAGGCTCTTATAACAAAAATACCATTGGTAGGTAGTTAATAAATATAATTTATTCCCTTAATAGATAAATTCATTTCTCATAATTTGGCAATGGGGCGGGGCGGGGGAGGTTGCAAAGTTAAGGATCAGAACACTGGAAGGTTTAGTATTGAGTGAGGGCTCACTTCCTGCTTCACAGCCAGTCATCTCTCCTCGTCTTCCATGGTGGGAGGGGCAAGGAAGATTTCTGGGGTCTTTTATAAAGGAATTAATTTTGGTTCTCATAACCTAATCTGTTCCCAAGGACCTCACCTTTAAACACTATTATAATGAGAATCAGGTTTCAATGCATGCATTGTAGGAGGACAAATATTCAGTTTATAACACCCTTTAATCTCCCATCCAACCAAATATTCACTGGTACTAACTAGCTTATTCTGGTGACTATCTGTGCTTTGGGGGCTGGAAGTCATTCGTTATTCCTGCCATCTCCTGGCTAGCACAGGAAACAGAGCAAAAGTCTTTTGGTCTAGCCCAGTTGGAAAGATCCAAGAAAATAGAGATGGCAGAAGAAATAGGAGACAAATGAGACCTCAGTGTGGGGTGTAGATCTGCTGATAATAGTTCCTTTTAGTAAACATGAGTTTAGGTGTGGGATTTTGCCATAGCTATGTAGCATAGATAATTGCTAGCTCTATCTAGCGATCAGACTGTATGGCTATTGATGGAATTTGCTAGGATATGTACAAAATCAGCAGTGAAGTAGCTTTCCCAAAAATGTGGACTGAATTTTACCTATTAGTTTGAAGTAAATACAGGGGTTGAAAAACCAAGGTCATTGTCTTAATGAGTAACTAAACAGAAGATTCCAGAAGGCAGGGTTGCCCATATGACCCGTGTTAGTCTCTTCTACTAGTTGATAACATGAAAATAAAAATGTGGAGTAAGATTAAGAGAGAATTTAGGGGTGCAATTCAGTAGGGTGTTGGGTTCAATCCCTAGCACATGCATACACACACACACACACACACACACACACACACACACAATGAGAATGACAGGCTAGGGATATGTTTCAAGTGGCAGAGTACCGGCCTAGCAAGTGTGAGGTCTTGAGTTCAAATCCCGGTACCACCACACACACAAAGTCATATACTAAGCTACAAGTAGGGTTCAAGTAGAAACCTGGGATCAATGCCCAATACCACCAAAAAAAATCAAAATAAAATTTAAAAAATTTAAATAGAGAATGGCAAATTGTACAATACAATTTGTTAGCATGGAGTAGATCCTCGTTGGAATAAATGAGTCATGAGACACATTTGAGGGAGAGCTGGGGAGACCCAATTGTACAATAGAGAAGACATTATATGCAGGTATTAGTGTTGATTTTTGTCAGTTAGAGACTATTACAAATATGCAGAGCTAGATTTTAGAGACACTACCTAAGCCTGCAGGAGAAAAATGTCAGAATGTCTAAAATCTCCCTTAAATACTACATAAAAAAAAGTCTACGTGGAAACATGGTACCAATTTTAAAATTCCAGGGATGGGCGACAACACTCATTATCCTTTACTAAGGTGACTATGATAAATCTAACGAAATGGAAAATTACAGCACTGGTTTGGCAGTGTACAACAATAGAGTGATTTATAAGACCTATTTAGGGATCATTGCCACATGCACAATGGCTATTAGGCATATTGTGAATGTGTCAGATTCATTTTAGTCCGTCCTTTTCATTGCCAAGCCAGAGCATTTGGGGAGCCGTTGCACGCAGAGTGTAAAGAATCTTCTTGTGTGGCATGATCTAGCTTAGAAGCACATGGTCTGAAACTCTGGGGACATCCATAGCTGGAAATTCTACGGGGCAGATTTTTGGAAGGGAAGACATTCAGCCCACTTGGTACTGATGTTCAGCCCCATGACAGCAAAGAGTAACAGCAGCATGGCAGGTAGGGTTCGTTAGGGAAGATGAAGTGGCTGGAAGGGAAGAAAGGGGAAAGAGACCTGGACAGGTCAGATCGGCCTTCAATCATGGCTGAAGCTGTGTGCCAAGTCACACAGAACTGAATCAAGGATAAAATGGGGGAAGGGCTGTCTGGCGTTTAAGTATAGTCAAAGAAGGAAGTTACTGATTGTGAAATGAATGACTAACAGCAGTGACAGCAGAAGGTTACACCCGGGGCAATGCATACTTTGGGACTGGACGGGAGGTAGTGGGGGATTGAGAATTGCTCCAAGGCCAGGACTTCCGAGAATGAGCCTGAGCCTGGGGGTAGGGGGGTAGGGAGGGGGACGGGGAAGGGGAGTGGGTGGAAGGGCACGCAGTCATGTGGGCCCTGAAGGCAGCATTGGGTTATGAGAGCAATTCAGATTCCCAATCCAGGATGTGTGATGTCCTCTGCGATCCTCTCTTCCTACTGCTGAGTCTTCCTCTAGCTCTCCCACAAGCCCCTGCTGGTCTATTCTACTTTCTTACATTGAGGTTGGACCTGTTCTTTGCATCTCCTATAGTTACACAGAGTCTGCTGTTCAGTATTTTTCTTTCTGAAGCTCACCGTTTTAACCAAACCATTGTGCTTTGTTTGCACGTTGAATTCTTCCAGGACCCTCTTTCCAACTCTCTCGCGCACGCACGCACGTGCATGCGCCATTATCTTATTTTTACTCAAGGCTTTCCTCACAATTTATTACCCCAATTCTGTTTGACAACTTTTTCTGCCCTGGTACCATCTGCCTAGTAGATGGATGGATGATTTATGTACAGATTATCACATACATATACACACACAAATGTACACACACAGCTTTGATGAATGTCATGTTGAAGTTGAGTTTCTGCGTGTACTAACCATGCTTGGGAAAATGCCTGGTGAGAAAGAGGAATGTGCTTCCACACTGGTGCATTTTGTTTTCCTTTGCAACCCCAGTGTCTTC